AGGGTCCCAAGGCTTTGGGCAATCCTCTACTGCTTTCCCAGGTCACAGGCAGGGAGCTGAATGGGGCACAACTTGTTGCTTGAAGCCACTTGTGCCACAACCTCCAGCGAGTTCGAGGTCTGGGTTCTTAATGTTAGATTTCCACTGTGGTCTCCACAGCCCCAGCTCCTGGCTCACCAATCTCCACCTCCTGTGATACCGTGCTGAAGCTGCCCCGTTGTCTCTGCAACCTTTTTCCCACTTCCAGTTGGAGCAGGTCCCAGGATTAGAGAGACCCCAGGTGTCCTATATAGTTAGGTTGTTGGTGGCGCTAATCTTGTCAGAACCTGTTGGACATTAGGTCTGGGTGCTACACGGAACTATTTTGACCGGTATGATGCCACAGTCAGTATTATTTTCCTGCAGGACCAGTGCAATCCACAGAACTCAGTGAGTTCTCACAAGCTCAGCACATGCGCAGTTCACTGTTGTCCCCTGCAGTCCTAAAGCATTTGCCACGGTGTACAAAATGGCACCTGATGTACCAGTACTAGAGTTCTTGATCTGCTGGCCATCAGGTCTGAGGGCTACCCAGACCTGTCTTGGGTAGAACATGTAGAATGCCATGTTGCTGTAGTTCACTGAGTCAGAAATGAGTTCTCTCTCAGCTCAGTGTATGCTCAGTCCTTTCCCTTGCCTTTGCCTCCTTAGGCAAAGTGGCGCCCACTTCAGCTCTAGGGGGCTGACTGGGCTGTGAAATCCACCCTGTTCTCTCACTGCTCGTCTGTGATCTGCCACTCTGTCTCTGCTCCTGGTCAAATCAAACGGACCAGTAGGACGGACAGTTCTTTGTGTGGGTTTACCTCCCAAGCTCCCAGTGCAAGTCCATTCCCACCTGGTTGCCAGTGGAGTTCAGATCACCATTGGCTGAATGCTGCTGGAGTATCAGTCACCGCAACACCACACCATTGTTTTCACTGCTTTCCTGTGTCTGTCAGTCTCCAGGTACCCCTCTGCTGTTGTTTGGTCCTCTCCTATTTCCTGGAATATGTCCTCTCTGCTTCATCCTGATTAAATGTTTTCCTGTCCATTTCGGGAGCTGAATGGCAAGTGGAGCTAAATGGGAAACAAACCAACACTCATATGGGACTCTGGAGCATGCAAGGCGAGGACTAGGCTGCCACACCACGCCCTTAATTTTGTTTTTCCATGGGCTCATTGAAGTGCTCACATGTTAGCAGTGTTGCTCTCTGTGAGTGGAGGGTTTATAGCATGTGTGAGTACAGGAGCCAGCCCACATAGTCCCCAAGGAGGGGTGTCACCCTTGCTTTCCCTCCCCAGTGTGACTTCTGTGAAATCAGGATCTCTGGATATGAGGCTCAGGAATCTGCATTTAAAATTAAGTTCTCCTTATGGACCTGGTGCGATAGCGTAGTGGTTCAAGTCTTCACCTCGAACATGCCAGCATCCCATATGGATGCCAGTTCTAATCCCAGTGGCCCCGCTTCCAATCCAGCTTCCTGCCTGTGGCCTGGTAATACAGTCGAGGACGGAGCAAAGCTTTGGGACCCTGCACTTGCATGGGAGACCCGGAGAAAGCTCCTGACTCCTGGCTTCAGATTAGCTCTGCTCCAGCCGTTGCAGCCCATTGGGGCGTGAAATATCAGACGAAAGATCTTCCTCTCTGTCTCTCCTCTCTCTGTATATCTGCCTTTCCAATAAAAAAAAAATATTTTTAATAGTTTCTGTTGATCTTTTGTTTATTATTATTATTATTATTATTATTATTATTATTATTATTTTATGATACAGTTCTGTAGGCCCCTGGGATTTCTCTTATGCTCTCCCCAGTTCTCCCCCTACCCCCACTGCGTTCCCCTGTATCATTACTATAGTATAGTTCTTCATACACAATCATATTTCGATTATTGTGGGCATGGACAATGGCAGAGTCCAGCGTCCTATTATCATACAGTAAATGGTTTCATCGGGAGTCCATCTTTAGTCTGGAAGTAGAGATGCATACTGCATTGTATCCTCACATCTGAATATGTTAGTCTCCATTTCACAGTTACTGTTCATCCCTTAAATAAAAAGCCGCAATACAAAATCAACATTAGGAAGCAAAAAAAAAAAAAATTTATAATGCCATGAAGTAAGATAACATGCTACTAGATAAGAGAGTCTCCATTGCACAGCTATTATACATCCCCTTAAATGAAAAGCCAAAAAAAACAAACTCAACAAGAAGAAAAAGAAATTAACAACGCCATGAAGTTAAATAACATGCTATTGAATGACTGATGTGTCGCTGAAGAAATTTAAAGGGAAATAAAGTGCCTTCTTAAAGGAAATGATGCTACTGCATGATCTATGAGTCATTGAAGAATTTAATGAGAAGAAAGTGTTTTGAAGAGGTGAAACTAACAAAAAAATCAAAATCCATAAGATATAGTTCCAATGATTTTTTTGTTGGTGAAATGTGTCTCATATAGGCATCTAATAGATGGGTTTTGTTTTTTAATCCAATCTACTAATCTATGACGTTTGATTGCATTTAAGCCATTTACATTTAGGGTTAATATGAGTGAGTGGTCATTTGGTCCTGTCATTTTAGCAATGGGTTGTTCATTGATTTAGTTTTCTGTTGTCGTTTTACTGGGATGTTCTTCACATTTGCCTTTGGTTTTGGTGGGCGCTAGTCCTCTTCTCTGTCAGGAGAACATGTGTAAGTATCCCTTGTAGGATACTTTTGAAAAAAGTTTTGCTTAATTTATTCTCAATCACTATAAAATTTGAGAACTAGATATCCCTTTTTTTTTTCGTTTGTTTTTTAAGATTTATCTTTATTGGAAAGGTAGATTTACAGAGAGAAGGAGAGACAGAGAAAAGATCTTTGGTCTACTGGTTCACTCCCCAAATGGCTATACCAGCTGGAGATGTGCTGATCTGAAGCCAGAAGCCAGGTACTTTTTCGGGATCTCCCATGTGGGTGCAAAATCCCAGAGCACTGAGCCATCCTCTGCTGCTCCCAGACTGTTAGCAGAGAGCTGGGTAGGAAATGGGGTAGCCGGGACACAGACTGGTGCCCATGTGGGATCCTAGTGCTTGAAAGGGGGAGGATTAGGTAGTTGAGCCATTGTGCCAGGCCCTAAACCATCTTAAGTAACTACATTTGCATGCATGTTGTGGTATTGGAAATATTTTTCAGACTACAGATTCTGTGTATGTTTTGTTTCTGATTACAAAAAGCAATCTTTTTTCTTTTTTCTATTTTGCTAAGACCAGCTGTAACTATCTCTGAATAGTGTAGGTTCTCCCTAGAGGAGTCTTCCCTAATCCCAATGTTTTTGTTTTTTTTTTCTCTCTCTCTTTTTTTGTTTATTTTTAGTGGAAAGGCAGAGGAATTAGAGAAAGGAGAAGGAGAGACAGAGAGAGCGAGATCTTCCATCCACTGTTTCATTCCCTGTCTGGCGACAGCAGCTGGAGCTGAACTGATCTGAAGCCACTGCTTCTTAAAGGTCTCATGTGGGTGCAGGGGCCCAAAGAACTGGGCCATCATTCACTGGTTTCCCAGTCACCGGCAGATGAGGAGGAGCTGTGACTCAAACTGGCACCTGTATAGGAAGTTGGCTCTGCAGGTGAAAACTTAGCATGCTACACCTCTGCTCCAGCTTTTGTTTTTCTTTTTTGCTTCTTCCATATCTCTATCAGCCTAGGGATTGACTTTTTACAGATGTAATATTTTACTGAAATGCTTCTAAATTTTTTGAGAGTTACTTTAGGTTAACACTAATTTTACCATCATCTTAGTATGACTTACTAGTTTTGGCACATCTGTAGATTTTGTGGTGGAAGAGGCTGTGCCTGACTCTAGCAAGTTTTCAAATGTTTCCTTCTTTGCTTTTTAAAATGTGTAATGTACCTGAAGTTTCCATTTTGACTTTAGGAAAATTCAGCCTCATCATTGAGTTCAGGGAATTTGACTGCTCTATTCATTACATTGCACTAGAAATAGCTTATTATAAAGATAACTTTTGTTACTTGTTCTCTGAAGGAATATATAGAACAGGATGTGGAGTGTTTATAATGAATATTTTTGTTAAGTATGAGAGTGGTTGGCAGTTATTTGACTCTCTGGAAAATAGGCACGCCTACTGGGCTTTTCATTTTACATTGCCTTCTAAAGTGTACTGTGTGGTAGAACCAGAAATGGTTTTTGTATTTCCTGAAACCCAGGATAGGCTTTTTGTTTGTCTTGAAGAAAGCATATATGTACCTCCAGGGAGTGGAAACACTGTCCAGTGTAGCAGCCGTTAGCCACATGTAGCTGTTTAAATTTTAATTAAAGACAAGTACAGTAAATTCAATTCAAACTAGCTGTACGTTTACCAGGATTTATTTATTTGAAAGGCAGAGGTACCAAGGGAGAGATCCTTGATCTGTTGATTTACTCCCTAGATGGCTGTAACAGCAAGGGCTGGACCAGGCTGTAACAGGAGCATCTGAGTTTCCCATGTGGGTGACAGGGTTCCAGCCACTTGGGCTTATTTATTCTTTTCTTTTTCCCCCAATTTTTTAGTCATTTTGAAATTTGATTTGTTTTTTTCTGCCTTCCATGCGTATTAGCCAGGAGCTTCATTAGAAGTGTGGTTGCTGGGATTTGAACTGGTGCCCATTTGGGATGCCAGTATCACAGGCAACAGCTTAACTTGCCCGCCATTAGCCATATTTTAAGTACTCACTGGCCAGCTGTTGCTAGTGACCATCACGTGGGACAGAGATTGTTCAGATCTTTCCCCTCACCACGAGTCCTCGTGGGCAGCACTTCCTAGACTGGTCATTGCTAAGAGGAGAAAGGCCAAATGAAGGCGCAGTCACCGGGAGCCGTGTCTCCACCCTTCCTTCCGCCCTCACAAACCTTCCTGCCTTCTGGAAACTTGGAGGAAAGTCTATAGATGGCTCTGTTGTTTTGAATATCAGTCCTTTTGACCTTAATTTTTTTTCCAATCCTGTTGCAGGCTGGCAGCGATGGTGAAAGCATAGGAAACTGCCCGTTTTCTCAGAGGCTCTTCATGATTCTTTGGCTCAAAGGAGTTGTATTTAGTGTCACAACCGTGGACCTTAAAAGGTAAGTATACGTATTAGAGGCGACTCACGAGGTCAGTGCATGGGACCACTCAGACGTTCACGTTTCATAAGCAGCACCCGCATTCAAGTTTTAGTTTGGATGCAGTGAAGTCTTAAACTTGCCTGTGTCAATATGAAACGTCAAAACTTCCTAAAGGAGACATCGTCTTGCTCTTAGATGTCTAAACGTGTGACTCGGATGATCTGGGTAAGAATGGAGGTTTTTTTCGGAGGCTGAATGCTATTGTGATCTATTTCATTTGATCAACTTTTCAGGGACTGCCAGGAGTCTTCTGCAATAGGATTTTAACTGTATGTGTTCAGTGTGACTGTACAAATAAAAATCATTATCCAGGTATCCTGTCGTGGTTCAGGCAATTGAAGAGTTGCTTCTGGTCTTCTCTGTAGCCACATGTGCAGAAGGATGGAACTTTTCATTCAGTAACTTCTCCTGCCCTTAGCAAAGAGGTCTGAAATGAAGAGCATTTGGGCTCCTCCCCACCCTCATAGATTTAAATCGAAGGTTAAGAGTAGTTGTACTAACAGCAAATTTAGGATTTGGCAGTGGGAATGTATTCCTTTGGACGTGGAAGTGACACCATGGTTTGCTCTTCCCTTTCTAAACATATCAAATTGTGAACAGAGTGCGGCAGAGCATGCAGGCTGTGCCACCGGAGGGGTGGGCAACTGAGGCAATGTCAGCCCTCATTGAATATAGTGAGAGTTATCTGAGCTGTGACGCCTCCACAGTTTTAGGTTAGTACACTCTAGAACTTCTATCAGTTCCTTTAGGTTTGTTCGGAACTTACTGCCAGTGCATTTATTTAAAACTGGGCCAGACTTAAAATTTGTCAAACATTAGCTGTAAAGCCTTCTAAAAATGCCTTCCTGGGCCGGGCGCCATGGCCTAGCGGCTTAAAGTCCTTGCCTTGAACGTGTCGGGATCCCATATGGGTGCCGGTTCTAATCCTGGCAGCCCCACTTCCCATCCAGCTCCCTGCTTGTTGTCTGGGAAAGCAGTCGAGGATGGCCCAAAGCCTTGGGACCCTGCACTCGCATGGGAGACCCGGAAGAGGCTCCTGGCTTCGGATCGGCGCAGCACCGGCCGTTGAGCTCACTTGGGGAGTGAATCAGGGGACGGAAGATATTCCTCTGTCTCTCCTCCTCTCTGTGTATATCTGACTTTGCAATAAAAGTAAGTAAGTTTTTAAAAATAAAAATAACATGCTTTCCCTCATATATATGTAAGATGTAGAAAGAAGCCTCTAGGGATAAGAGTTAAAACTGCAAGTTCCTGGGAATAGTGCCTAGTTCTGATGGGCAGAGCTGTTTGAGAATGATCTAAGTCGTGTAGTTGTTCATATTACTGGTTTTTTTTTTTCCTACATGCCTTCACAAAGGGAGTTTCCCAACTAACTGCTAAAAATAGACCATGCCACTAGGCACACACCCTTACTGTGCCCTAAAATACATGAATTTCTCCTATTCCATTTTTGGTATGGAGCAAATGAGTTGTCTTGCTTAGAGAAAGCCTTCTTTCAATAGCCCAGTATAGTGCTTGATTGTGGTCCCTACCCGTTACTGTGAATCTGGTTTAGAAAAGGAAGAGAGACCATCGTGGCTGCTTGTAACTTTTAATTTACAGACATTTAAAGGCATTATTTCTGTAAGTTGGTTATTTGAGCATCTGTGGGACATTTAAGGGTTCTATAATTCGTGTATAAAAAGATGACGCATGGACATTGGTATTCATTGCCACCTAACTAGATAGAATTGAAGACAATACCTGTTAATTTCCCAAGGCTTGGTGTTAATTCAGAGTTAGAAGGCACTTATAATTGAAGGCTGTGTTTTTTTGTTTTCTCTAGAAATTCTTAGATCTCCACTTCATCTGAGAAATCGGACGTGATAATTAGTTCTTTCCACCCCTAGCATCTGGTCTCAGAAAAATGCTTTTAGATTTGGTCTTTATCCTTCTAGATTTTTTTTTTTTTGAAAGAGAAGACATACAGAGAGGAAGAGGGAGGAAGAGAGAGACTTCTAAGTTTTAGTTCAGCCCCCAAATGGCTGCAGTGGGCATGCAGTGGGCAGGGCTGCGCCATGTTAAAGCCAGGAGCCTAGACCCAGGACTCCTGCATGGATGCTGGGACCCAGGCACTTGTGCCATTCTCCACTGCTTTCCCAGGCCATTAGCAGGGAGCTGGATGGGAAGTGCAGTGGTCGAGGACTCAAAATCCATGTGCATACGGGATACTGAGGCCACAAGTGGCAGCTTCACTTGGTGCTTCTCCCTTCCAGATCTTTTGTATGGGAGTACACATTGTCTTGAACAGAATTTCAAAGAGCTACCCAAAGAGAGTGGATGTTTAAACAAAAAAGTGAATTACAAAGTTCTCATAGAAGAATAAAGAGTCCTTTACTGAAATGTTCCCCTCGCATAATATATTCTTGATTTTAAAACATGAAGTGTGGCTCTATGTAGGAATCTGTGGGGGAGGGGTGCTTGTGCTGCTCACTTCCCCGCTTCTCTTAATGACTGCCTGATTACTCAGTGGAAAGCACCGAGCTCAGAGCTGTCTCAGAGCACGCCAGTGGAGAGCCGTGGAGCTCCCTCGAGAGCTGTTGAGAAGCCCACTCTGCCTGCTGGCAAAAGGATCGTCACGTGACATCCGACCCACGGGAGGCTGGGGCACGGGACCACATGTTCTCTTTACATCTCAGTTGGTGTTAATGACTGCGCTGGTGGCATTCATATGCCCTTTGTGAGGCCTGGAACATTCTCCCGTCACTTGCCTGCCAGCGCAGCCTTAATGCTGCAGTGGGAGTGATTTCCAAGCCCCAGTCTTTTGTTCATGCTTCACTTGTGTTAAAACACATTTAGATGAAAAAGAAGAAAACCATTTGAACACAGCTTGATAAGTGGAAATATTAAAATGAGGGCCTAATGTTACCTGCCTGCCATCAAATAAGGAGCGCCTGTGGCTTGGTGGTGGTAGGAGGGCGCCCTGGTTCTGTGTGGAGAGAGGAGCATGGCTGTCTCCCTGTTGTTTGGGTCTTGGGCAGGCTGCCTCATCTTTGGGTTATTTACTTCATATTTCAGGAAAATAGAAGGAAGAAATGAATTCACTTTTGTTCAGTGGTGTTTCTGTTCTAGATGCTGTGCAGGCTGCATTTGACTGTTTTCCAAGTTGGAAAGTAGAACTCCTTGTTTTCACCCTAGAGCCTTTTTGACTGGCGGGTTCCTGGCAGCGAAAAGGGCTTTCTGTGAAGACCTCGCTCATTTCCCAAAGTTCCTTAAGTAGAGACTAGCATCTCTAAAGTCAGCTCTCTAGTAAACCTTGAGTTCATGGGTAAACCTGACAAGGGAGGTCGGGGAGAAGAGAAAAGGCAGAGAAAGATGGAGCAGAGATGCAGACATACTGAGATCTCACAGCAGGTGCACCCGCCTGTCAGGGCCAGCTGATTTGGTTCTGAGAAACAGGGGTAAAAATGATAACCAAGACTTTTTTAAAAATTAATTTTTTAACTACTGCTATTTCATGGTATTTTCTGAGAGAATAGAGACAGTTGCTTCTAAGAAATCTGGGAATTTGTGTATCAGTTTTCCCAGTCCTACTTGAATACTACAAATGTTTAAGTCTTTGCATTTTCACTGATGAGTTCCTTTTGCTTCAAATGCAAACATGCCACTTGCAATTTATTATATGACCCAGATCCACATGCAGTGAGAACAAGCATAAAGTTTTAGATTGCAATAGTTGACAATGTAGTAACAGTTCAGAATGTTAGAGTGAAACTATGAAGTGTTTATCTTGAAAGGCAGTAAGAATACTAGAACAGGGGCTAGTGCTGTAGCATATAGGCTAAACCTGTGTCTGCCGTACTGATGTTTGATAATGGGTGCCCGTGTCCCAGCTGTCCCACTTCCAGTCCTGCTCCCTGCTATTGGCCTAGGAAGACAGCGGAGGATGGCCCAAGTCCTTGAGCTCCTGCACCCAAATGAAGGCCCTTGTTAGACTTGTCCTGCAGTCAAGATGATTGAGCTTCTGAGCCACATGTGTCAGTTTGAGTTGTGTGTGTGAGACAGACATGGACCAGACAGAAAGACGGCGAGACCTTCGCTGCCGTTTGTTGATGTTCTTTTTAAAGATCACTCGAAGATGATAAATCTGTTGAGGCTGCTAAGAGCTGAATAAGAACAATTATTAATGAATATTTTTGTAAATCAGTATAAACTGTACTTTTAACCTCAGTTATTAAAATATGCTAATAACTATAGAAATTTTGTATTTGAAATGTTTGCATGAGTGCAATTCTGTTTTTAAAATATTGTTTCACAGGCTGACATTAATGTAGACAGAGATTAGCAGCATATCATGTTTAGTCAAAATCTGTAGACTCCTGTAACTTGTTGAGCTCAAGTAGATGAGAACTAGAGGTCTGTGTGCGTGTGCTTCAGTGTGTTTGTGGCTAATTCATTGAGTTAGTGATTTTTATTATCAGTCAAGACAGAATATAGCAAATCTAGAAAAGACTAACAGGAATGAAGTGCTCTGAAAGAGAAAGGGCTCTGGGAGAAAGGGTTTTACTTTTGTGACACTGAACAGTAGACTCTTGATACATCTTAATTTCATGCTTTTGAAAATAAGCATCTTCAAAAAGGAGTTTAAATTAAAAGCTCTGCAAACATTGTAGTTTTCTCTTTTTTCACATTAGAAGGTAGCTAATTACAGGTAGGTCATCTTTAAGAACCAGCTCCAGTGTCTTGGAGCTTGACTGGACACTGCCAAGCAGCAGGAATGGAGCTGTTGTATATTCCTCTAAATCAAATTTCCATAGGTAACCAGCTTTGAACCATCAGCTCTATTAAATAAAGTTAATTAAATAAAGGTAATAAAACTATGGATCTTATCTTTAGCATAATGCTTTGTAATATGCAATACTGAAAGCAGTAATAACTTTCATTTTCATGCCTCTGTTAGTTGGATTTCACATATGTGCATTAGCTAAATGATCTTTATAGGCAAAGCTGGTCTAAGATCTGTCTCAATAGGCAGGAGGAAATCCTGACCCCTAAAGGGGGTCATTGACAGATAACTTGGGGGGGGATGGCAGAACCATTCAGCTTGGGACTTTATCCTATTCTTTTTATCACCTTTGGTTCTTTCTTCTCTATCTTGCTGACATCATTGAGAACTGAAAAGTGGTCATAAGTAATTATAGAAATAATCTGTTATTTTGGTCCCCTTCATGGGTTATTTGAAAATACCGAATTCTCCTTTTTCATTTATACAACTCTGTCCTATTCATAAAAATTATAATGAAGACCGATTTATGTTATTTCCATGTGCTTAAGCATTTAACTGACTTATAGAGATTTTGATGGATGTGTTTATGACTTTGCAATGAGAAAATTACCTTCCGGTGACTGATTTGCATCTGACCAGATCCAAGTGCATGCTCTCTCACCACCAGCCTTGCTCTGTGGGAGATGGATATGAGTTATGTATTCTCTTTCTTCTGGTATTTTGTAGACGTTTGATGACTTACTCTTGTTCTTTCTTTCTGCAGGTTCTTTTGTTGTTCAACGTTTTAACTTTAAAAATATTAAGATCTAAAAACATAAGTTCCTTTCAAAAGTTTGTTGAAAAGTAGTTAAAAATTGTTGGGTTTGGCATAGGATATTTTGAAATCCCCTTATGTTTTTCACTACGTCTTTCCCACAAAGCTTTTGAAGGCCTTACACATGAGCCCTTAGCTGTTGAGATGTCTAGACTCTTGATTTGTTCAAGGTCTTCCTGAGTTGAGGGGGAAATAAACTTAAGTGGAGACAAATGTGAGCATTAAGAGTGGGTGACTTGAAGATTAATGATGGTGACAATCCTGACACCCTGGACCCTTCTGGAACCACAGAGGAAATGGTTTGGAGGGCAAGCAAAGGGATGGCCACAAGAAACCAGCTCAGAGAGCAAGAGAAAAGGGTTGTTCTGATGAGGAGCTGAGTGTCTAGACTGTAACTCCTGTGTCAGGCTTGCCTCGCTGTAAATCAGCATGGAGCTGGAAGGCCGTGCTCAGGTTTCCTCTGTTTTTGCCCTCCTGTGTGCGACTCTGGCCGACTAGAAACCACTCGTTGAAAAACACAGGTTGAAAATTAAATAAACAAAACAAAACAAAACAAAAAACTAGACTAGATAGAGAACAGCAAGGAAAGCTTAGAAACAGGAAACGGGCAGTGGGTATGCACTTATAAACTGGGTGGGACACGAAGATTAGTAACTCCTCACTAGGGTATTGGGGATTTCTTCACCTAAACTGTTGACATATGTCTTGTTAGAGTTAGACTACCCGAAAAACAGCCAGGTTCTGCAAAATCATGCTTCAACGCTATTAACTGCTAAATACTAAAATTAAAATAGACATGAGACAGCTGAATAGTAATTTATAGCCATTTTAAGGTGTATAGAACCCAGTTGTATATAAACTAATAATTGTAATGTCAATGTAGAAGTCATAGGATGTGGTTCAGAACTTGCAGTCTTTTTTTCTTTCTCTCTTTTAACATGCTGGTTACACAATACCATGTCAATTAATTCCATTACGTTACAAATTATTACTGATGTAATGTCGGGGCTTTTAATTGATTGGGATGATACTCTGTTAGCTCTACCTTCAGACCAAAGATGGTCTCCCCAAGAAACCGTTTAACTTATCTGGACAATAAGATGCTGGACTCTATGCTTTGTAGATGCTTGCAAGGAAAGAATCTCAACTGAATTTGAACTGTGGTAATGCAACAAGGTGGAAGAATCCACCATGGGGGGTGGTTGGGGGAAGGGGGGAATCCCAGTGCCTATAAATCTGTGTCACATAATGCAATGTAATCAATTAAAAAAAATTTACAAAAAGAAAAACACAGGGTTGAAAATTAAGAGTCTTCTTCTGCAGGGTATTGGCAAGGCTGTTTGTGCCTTCCAGAGATTTGCTTCTTTCTAGAGTCCTACTGTTGTACATAGTGAAAAACAAAATGGCTATTTCTTACTCATTTTTTATATACTTTGGAATGTAGAACCACTCAGAATTTCAAGTATTATTACTTGCCTGGAGTAACAGATGATCTCATTTTGACCTCTGTTTTGCCTAACAGGAAGCCTGCAGACCTGCAAAACTTGGCTCCCGGGACCCACCCACCATTTATAACTTTCAACAGTGAAGTCAAAACGGATGTGAATAAGATTGAGGAGTTTCTTGAAGAAGTCTTATGTCCTCCCAAGTGAGTATCAGAGAAAATACGCATAATGTTCATGACCAGACATTTGTGCTTGATTTTTACAGTGTTAATTTGTAGAAGTGTCTTCTAAGTTACAATGAGTGCTACAAACATGTCAGAATTTGACCAAGTTGAAAAAACCATATGTATAGAAAGGTGGAAATGTACCTGAGCTGTATGTGGGGAGAAAGCAAGTTTGAGGTGTGTAAGATAATTTGGGAAAGACTTGTTATTTGTGGGTTACAGATCTCCAAATCGGAGCGACAGTGATAAGTTCCAGGTGAGCCCTGCCTGCATGTTGAAGTGGGGATTTGTTGTGGGCTATGATGAGATTTGCTTTCTATTTCCAAGGAAACTTTCTGAAGCAATGATCCAAGGAAATTAGATGTTTTCGCATTGTGTTTCCGGAACTGAGTTTTTATCTACTTATTTGTGCTCCTGATCAATTCCCATGTGTGTTATAATGATGTTACCTGAATTGTAAATACACCTTATGGTGTGATCTTAGCATAGGCTCAAGGCATATTGTTGGTTTCTTTTAAGCTTTTCCACTTTCACGATCCCGAAACCTGGTGAGTTTCCTCTGACTTAAGCTTTTCTTGCTGACTTGACTTTCACCTATTCAGATAAATTTTCCAGGAATGCGATAATTGGATCATAAAAATTGATGTTGATCAGTTCACTCAGGGACAAAAGCTCTATGAATACAGTCGCTGCCCTCAGCAAGCAGGTTGAGTGTTGGCTACAGCCAAGGTGGTCATAGGGAGGGAAAATGAGCCAGAGCAGGCTTTAGAGAAGAGCCAGCCGCGTTGCTTCTCAGCCTTTTGGCTAAGAAGGAGTGTAGAGAAGAGTCTGCACTTGGGCTTAATCAGGGAAAAAAAAAGTCCCGAGGTGGCATCTGGCAGGTGCACAAAGGAGTCACAGGAATTCTGGGGCAGAAGGTTCCAGTTTGCATAGCTGTAGTCTGTCTTTGGAACTTTTGGAGAAACTGCCTCAACGGAGTACACGGAGATAGGGAAGGGTGGACAGAAAGGTGTTACACCCGTGAGTAGCAGTGCCTCAGCCGCAACTAGCCATCACCTGTTGTAAATGCAGTTGCCCTCTGGTTAGCGTCTTGTGCAAAGCCTACCATTTTCACGTTCTTTGTTTTTAAATATTTTTTTAAAGTCAGGTTTACAGAGAGAAGGGAGAGACAGAGAAAGAGATCTTTTTTTCTGCTGTTTTACTCCCCAAGTGCCTGCAATGGCCTGAGCTGAGCTGATCTGAAGCCAGGAACCAGGAGCTTCTTCCAGATCTCCCACGCCGGTGCAGGGTCCCAAGCTTTTGGCTGTCCAGTACACTGACAGGGAGCTGCGTGGGAAGTGGAGCAGCCAGGATATAAACTGAACTGGCGCCCATATGGAATTCTAGCGCATCCAAGGCAAGGATTCAGGCTCTAGGCTACCATGCCAAGCTCTGTAATTTCTCTTTAACTCTTCTTATGCCATTTTCTATGATGCAGTTTTGTAGGATAGGGGTTCCCTTGTTTCCCCTTCCTTCACTTTTCCACGTATTACCATTGCTGAATTCTGCCAAATGTTTCCAGAAGATCTTCCCTTATCCTCCACCATCTATCTATTCAAAACAATAGAAAAGGAGGCAGCCCTTCCAAATTCCTTCTGTGATGCCATCATCACCTTGATAGCAAAGCCAGATAGAGACACAACAGAGAGAGAATTATAGACCAGTATCCCTGAAGAACATAGATGCAGAAATCGTCAGCAAAATAGTAGGCAAGAGAATCCAACAAGACAGCAAATAGATCATTCTCCAGGACCACATGTGATTCATCCTTCCTATGCAGGACGGCTCAGTATATGCAGATCAATGTGATATACCACATCAGCAAATTAAAGAATAAAAACCGTATGATTATCTCAATAAATGCAGAGAAAGCATTTAATAAAATCCAACACCATTTCATGCTAAAAACCTTAAGCAAGATAGGTATAGAAGGAACATTCCACAGCACAATCAAAGCAATGCATGAGCAACCCAGTGCTAGCTGGAAGCTTTTCCACCAAGATCTGGAACCAGACACGATGTCCATCCACTTTCATCACTGCTTTTCAGGATAGCACTGGAAGTCCTATCCAGAGCTATCAGGCAAGAAAAAGATGAAAGGAATTCAAATTGGAAATGTGGTTAAAGTCAAATTTTATGCTGATTCTCAAGGCCTATCATCTCCCTTCCTTCTTCCTTCCTGGCCTTCCAGCTTCTTCAGCCTGTTTTCCAGGAGCCCTTGCCGGCCTTCCATATCCAGGAAAGTCTCTCCAGAACAATCTCAGCAAAATGGTGTCTTAATCTTTCCTCTAGGCCATGTCTAGAATTAGGACACCAGTAACTGGAATTTTTTTGTAAAATAGAAATTGAGGGCCCGGCACGGTGGCGCAAGTGGTTAAGGTCCTCGCCTTGCACGCCCGGGATCCCATATGGGTGCCGGTTCTATCCCGGCAGCCCTGCTTCCCTTCCAGCTCCCTGCCTGTGGCCCGGGAAAGCAGTGGAGGACGGCCCAAAGCTTTGGGACCCTGCACCCGCGTGGGAGACCAGGAAGAGGCTCCTGGCTTCGGATCGGCATAGCATCGGCCGTTGCGCTCACTTGGGGAGTGAATCATTGGACGGAATATCTTCCTCTCTGTCTCTCCTCTCTGTATATGATGCCTTTCCAATAAAAAAAAAATAATAAAAATAAATTTTTTAAAAAAAGAAATTGTTGCTCTACATTGTATGTTGAGTTAATCAGAAATAACTTTTTTTTTTTTAAGATTTATTTATTTTTATTACAAAGTCAGATATAAAGAGAGGAGGAGGAGTGACAGAGAGGAAGATCTTCCATCCAATAATTCACTCCCCAAGTGGCGGTAACGGCCGGTACTGTACCAATCCGAAGCCGGGAACCAGGAGCCTCTTCCAGGTCTCCCACATGGGTGAAGGGTCCCAAAGCTTTGGGCCGTCCTCAACTGCTTTCCCAGGCCACAAGCAGGGAGCTGGATGGGAAGCAGGGCAGCCGGGATTAGAACCAGTGCCCATATGGGATCCCGACGCGTGCAAGGCGAGGACTTTAGGCCTCTAGGCCACGCCGCTGGGCCTGGAAATAACTTTTGAAAGAATCTACTAGATACCTTTTATTTTGTAAAATCTGTCACTCTAAGGAAATTACCGTTTGCCAGCTTGTCTGCAGGTACTAAAAAGCAGTCTTCCCCTTGTATAAGCGTCGCTTGTTGCATCAGTGTTAGATTATAGGGAAGTGCTGGAATGACTTACTCATTTTGTTTGAAGGAAACTGTTTTGTTTTAAAGCATGGTCTGAAGTGTGTACTGTATGAATCATTTAAAATACATTTAAATCTTTAAAAGCTGTGTCTTGATAACATTTAGTTATATAGCACTAATGGACATTTTTCTCATATTATTTTCTAGCCTTCTTCAACAATAGCAATAAAGACTTTATTATTTGCTGTGAAAGGGGTACACATCTTGAGAAATAGTGAGCTAACAAGAAAATATTATGGTCTTTGTATCCAGTTCTGTAAAACATCACAACTTTGAATTGTTTTGAAAATAAATGTTTTCAATTTGATTTTTATTTGGAAACATCAATCCCATTTTATTTAGGCATATTCACAGAGATAATTAGAAATATTGTTTTAATCTCAACACCTGGAAAATTCTATCCCAGTGTGCGCAAGGAGCTAAATTCTTTCTAGGATTATGTTCCTTGTTTTAGCTTGTATATATACATTGTGGTTTTTTTTGTTTTGTTTTGTTTTGTTGTTTCTTATTTACTCAGAAGGCAAAGCAACAAAGAAAGGAGAGAGACAGAGATTTTCTGATATCTGATTCTTTTCCCAAATGGCCATGATGACCAGGAATGGGCCAGGCTGTGAAACCAAGAGCCCCTGTGGGTGGCAGGGGCTGGAGCAATTGGGCCATTGTCCACTGCCTTTTCAGGTGTAGTATCAGAGACAGAGTAGCAAGGAGTGGTTTCAATGCTTTGATACAGGATGCCATTTTCCCAAACATTGGCTTAACCCATTAGCACCACAGTACCAGCCACTGTAGTTTATATTTTGAAAAATCTCTGACTTTTAAAAATTTTATCCTATATGCAAAGGATTATCTTGATGCTGTAAATACCACTAATTCATAGCACTGAAATGCTATTTATGCGTCTGGTGCTATGTGGATTTTGTCAGTTAATCCTCCAGACTTCATGAAGCAACTGAAGATGGAAAATCCTAATGATTGTCCAAAGTGTCACAGTGAAGACTGGCAGAACTGGGATGCCCTGGAAGCCGGATAGGTGTGACCACATTAGCTCATGTTTCTTCTGTTCTCTCCATCTCATTTCGTTGGATGTGGCTTTTCTAAAAGTTGGGGTTGCTCTTTAATGAGTGCAAAGTTTAGTGAGCTATCCCAAATTCAGAGGATGGGTTGAAGAGAAATCAAAGATCATTTACTTGACTGATGAGCAAGTGAGAATGAAGGTGGGTGATCAAACTCTGAATCCTTTAAAACCAAACAACCAACAAAACGCAAACTAGGGGAGATCTGGTTTCTATTGAGCTTTTATCTCTCTGTGTTGGAACTCTGTTTGATGGGAGTTCCTTTCCTTAACAGCTCTCCATGCTTTCCTGGGAGACACCCTTGTCCTCCAGTAGCTTCTCCAGCCTGAGTGGGAGGAGGGGATGTCCCAGGATTGGCACCTGCACCCCTTTTCCTTCCTGTGTTTGGCGTAGTCCTAGGGCCTCATGCCACTCGCTGCCCTCCCCTCCCCTGATCTTGCTGCTCCTGCTCTGCGTGTAAGCCTGCTTGTTTCAGATAGGATGAGGAGGAAAGGCTAGAGAGTTGGGAGAGCTGACGGACTAGGAGCTGACATTGCTAAGTATGTGTTTCTGGCCTCAGTGAGAGAACAGTGTTTTTCTGCGAATGCTTCCTGATGTAATCATGACAGATATCAATGCA